GCAATGTTAATTATAGAAAACAAAAGTTTCAATTCGCAAAGTTGCAGATTTTGAAAAGTTGTTTTGCTATAATTAAGGGAGAGTAACTCATACTTCAGTTAAAAATCTAAAATCTTAGATTGTGAGGTTTTAATCAAATTTAGTCAAGGATATATATATATATATATATATATATATATATATATATATATATATATATATATATATATATATATATGTGTGTGTGTGTGTGTGTGTGTGTGTTCTGTTGGAGTGGTACAACATAAGGAAATTCTATATATGGAAATATTATAGCAAGAGACTAGTAAAGTATCAAGACATTATGTAAGACATAATGAATCATATCCCATATGCTTCAAGTATAGGATCGATTGCATATGCTATAATATTTATGTGTTTCGAGTTTTCCAAATGCGTAGGGCATTAAGAAGGAAAAAGGACTAGAACCAGATATGACAAAAGTTGTTAAACAATTGCTAAGAACAGTCTAAGGTTCGCCAAAGATTGGGTGCTTGTAGGCAATTGGAAGTATTCTAATGGATGGACCATATTGACAACTATTATCAATAGACAAGATTCTATTAATAAAAAATTGACATATGGAAAATATGGAATTGTTTCCACATTGGGAGTTGGATATTAAGAATCTATGTGAAAGTTAGAAACTTTTATGCAAGAAGGATGTTCAAAGGAATGTACTTTGAATGTGAGACTTCATTTCCATGGAATTGTTCTTGTGACAATCTCTAAAAGAATACTTTGTAATATCGTTGGCAAAGTCTCTGTGACGTTTATACCTCGACATTTCAAAAGGAATCATTGCACGATAGTTTAGAATCTAACACATTCTAGCAGTGACAAGAATATGGTATTCTTACACTTGCAATAAGGATTTGAATTTGTGAAATGAGCATCATTGGAAATGTTTCAATTGTTTCACAAAGAAAGGACCATATGTAAACATAGTATGCATGCTTAGAGAATGAGATCACTATTGTTTTAATTCAAGTATTAAGTTGATTAATCGAAACATTATTCAATGAATAATGTGTAATCAATATGGTGATTAAATAAAATGTGTTTTATTTATACTCATAAGCTCTGAGACCATATTGGATTCGATTATTCTTGCATTTCACTGTGCATGTTTTGACTTCCAGAATAATAAGATTATTCAAACTATCCAAAGTCGATCATACTTTGGAAGTAGGTATTGAGGCAAGATTGTCATGAATCTGATTGTTGATTGTCTAGGTGTTTTAGACATAGCAGTGTTCAAGAGTACTCCTGGAATAAGATTCGTGTATTGGATTAAACCCACGCTCATCTACTCATTTCATGGATTTTATCACGATTGCTTGTGAGACGATATTATCCTATATTCTTGAAACATAGAGATATGAGTTGCAGTTTACAAGTCGGTTGCACATTAATAATATGTAAACGCACTAGTAACTTGGTCTTATAAAACATATTGTTGTGTGTGATTTTATGAGTAGATAAAGCAATCATATGATTCAAAGTATATCCATTCCTTTTACCCTTAGAGGGATAAAAACGATATATGTGGGCCCCTCGTGATTTATTGATGACAACCCTAAGCGCTTGGCCAACCCTGGACTGATTTGATTTGTTCAATTAGTCGGTCGTCTTAAATCGGAAATCGGGAAACAACAGATGCACAGAGAGAATGATTATAATCCATGTACCATTCTATACAATATCTAGAATGGAGGAATATATGATCCCTTATCTAATGGACGCATTATTGACTAGGTCAGAGTCCGACAGCGGCTTTTAAAAGCTTCAATTGCTAGTCGGGATTTTGGAGCCGTACTTGCAATAATAGTTATTACACTTATCCAAGTGGAAGACCGTTAGATTAGGTGTTTATGCCCATAACTATAATTGGTATATACTTGACCCGAGAGTAGCATGCTCTATTTCGGGTTGCATATCACCAGGACAATTTGATAGGATGGATATTTGAGTAAGAAGTTATTTATGATTTACTAATATATTATAAGTATAATATATTAATTGAGAAATCATAATATTTAATTAGTATAGATCAAGAATTAATTTGGAATTAATTTAGTGATAAAAAAAGACTAAATAAATTAACGGGGACTAATTATGTAAATTTGTGATACATATGGTTTGGATTTTGATCCATGATGGACTAAGTTTATGTAAGAATCCATAAATAGTTCATCCACATGAGTTATGGATCAAAAGTCTATGTGTATGGATTAGGGTTTACACATGACTATTGGAATCTTACACTATATATATGTTACCCCTTAGCCAAAATCGGTTGACCAAAGTCTTATAAGAAGAACTATTGATGTATGTGAAACAAGATAGTTTTAAACCTACTTTTAATTATAAAATAAACACACAAAGGCAGTGGACCTATCAATTCTGGTAAAGCTAAATAAGTAGGGTATCGAACACACGGAATGGTAAATTAAAACTAAAAACTAATTTTATCTAAATTAATTAATAAGTAAGGGTTTTTCTCTAGTTTTACAAGACTAGAAACTTACTACTATCACTAAAAATGACTAGAAAAGCAAAGATTTAACTAAATTCAATAATAAGAAAGACTTCTGTTTAGTTCAACTCAATTGATCCTATGGTTGATATTATGGTAATAGTGCAATGAATTAATTCTTCTATTGGTTACCGATTCAATTAATTAGATTCACATTCGCTGCACTAATCCTTAGAGAACAAACTAACTCAAACAGTGATCAGTTGTCTAATTTAATTTAATTCACTAGATTATTTATTCGGGTTAATTTAGACTTGTAATAGCTAACTAATTTGGTCCTTTAGTTAACTTCTTGTTGATGGTCATCATACAAGTTCACACATGAATTTACCTATTTTTCTTATTAATTCTAGTTTCATGTTAATTAATCTTAGACATATGACAAAGTGGTCACATAACATATGAGGTTGATAATTAAAAGATGTTCATACTATCTAATTATCTTCCTATTAACAGAAAAATAGTTATCATCCACACATAAGGTTCTTTAACAAGCTAAAGTCAAAAATCACCAACATTGAATTAATCCTACCATAATAATCAATCCATAGTATCAATATTGTATCCCCAAACAGAAGTTTAAGAGTTTTACCTCATGTTTGAGGTAATAAACAGCATAAAAACGAATTCTAATTGTCTAGCCATAATGGAAAACAAAAGATTAAGTAGAATGATGTAGATTTGCCTCAAATCTCCTTCGGGATTAAATTCTAGGGTGTATCTTCGTTCTTCAGGTCTCTCCTGGCTCTGATTCGTAGCTTACTTCTTCCCAAGGGTTCCAGAATGTCGAATGTGGATCTGGGAAGCCGTATATATAGATTCGACCCGACTCGCCAAATCCATGTCCGACTCGCCGAGTCCATAACTTAAATCCCATGTACGGTAAGTCATGAAGTCCTTATCTTTTCATTACACTACTAGAAAAACAGCCTTTTACGATGCTCATTGCGCGTCGTAAAAGGCTCAGACGATGCGCAAATGCGCGTCAAGGAAGGCCATGTCATAAAGAGAGACGATGCGCTTTTGCGCGTCGTCTATAGACGACGCGCATTTACGACGCTCATTTACGACACACAATTATGAAGCGCGTTTACGACACGCAATGCGTATCGAGAAAGGCCCTGTCATAAAGGGAGACGACACGCATTCGCGTGTCGTAACCTTACGACGCGCGTGTTAATGACACACATTGCGTATCAAGAAAGCCCCTGTCAAGAAAGGCCATGTCATAAATGAAGATGACACACATTTTTGCGTATCATAATTGTAAATATTAAAAAAAATATTATTTATGGATTTACTTATTTTCAAATTAAATTTGTATTTAATGTTTCATAATAAAAAATACAATATCATATACAAAAAATAGAATCCATTGCATAAATTTAATGCCATACAAATAATCGTTCGAACGACTAAGGGGATCCGATTGTACATTGTTATTAAGAAAATGGAAGTATATTGTTATAGTTAGAAAATAAATGAGAGTACAATGCGCTACGTTTGGTTCCTCTCATATAGTTTCCATCTTCAAGATTGCTATCCAATAAGCTTTTAGTATTCGCATGTAGAAATTACATTGCAAAATGCACACCTGAGAGCTCACGTCCAAGAACAGGGAGGTCTCGTGGCTTTGTTGCCCCAACTGCTTAACCGCATCATTCTCTTTGCGAAGGCGTTGAATTGAGTACACCGGATCGCTTCCTAATTCCAGGATAGAGGAACTGAAAATATTATTACAACTCATTGTTTACCAACAAAACAAACTATATGATTATCATTACCTACCTACAAAAGTGTGCCCTAGCAATCCAGAATTGGGATTTTGTTCCTTCTCCAGTTAGATTTAAGCCAAGTGTGGGACTACTGCTTGCAAGAATGCAATGTTGAGGGCAATCACAAGAACTGGACCATGGTGTTTGGATCACAACAACAAACCTACATACACAAAACACAATTTTAGTATTTCTGGAACCTATTAAGGATATCACTCATTGTAAGAACTAGAAAAGGATGAAAAGTTTTTAGGAAATCATAGGGACTTACCGAGCTGCAAGGGTCATCCATGTGCTGTTCTTTCTGCAAACTACACCACACATTTCCGAATTAAATCTGACAGTAAGGTGACTGACTATGCTACAAAAAAAATGCAAAATTAACTCCTTTTTATCTTTATCACAAACTATTATGTGAATCCGATATGGTTGTATTTTTTATTCCATATGCAAGTACCCAACAAAGATTCACATAACAGCCATGGATGGCAACAAGCAGGGAAGCACAACGGTATTGCTTTTTCAACAAAACCTACAAGTATATGCACAACTAAGAAACCAATAAGTTAAATAAACCTAATCTTTTCAGAAAGTTTTATGTGAAACTGGCATGAGGCTTTTACCTTTTACCATGAAAAGATAACTGAATAAAGGATTTGCAACAGAAGTCACAAAGGGCTTACAGGGTAGTATAATGCACTTACAGTTGTGTTGGTCAACGGCTTAACAATGTGGTAGTATAATGCAGTCAGTGTGTCCCCCTTGTCATTCCTGTTACAATATTTAATTAATTAATCATCAACATAATTACTTTAAAAGATTAATTTTTTATATAACAAAATAAACATCGGTTCATCCGGAGTGTAAGTCACGTCCAGATAGTGGCCTTTCAGCTATCACAGAACTTGACCCATGTTATATAACAGGTAACATTCTTTCCATCTCTCCATCTGTATATACATAAACACACACACACACTTATACGTTATATCTAAGTTGTAACATATAGTCCCTGAAAGTGAATTCTTGATTATCAGGTCCTCTTTCATCAGTATGGAAAGAATGGTGCATTGAATTTAGGATTGAGGCAAATGATATTCTTGTTGTTCCATATGATTGGAGATTATCACCATCAAAGCTTGAAGAATGGGATTTGTACTTCCACAAGCTAAAGTTTGTATTCACTTATTATATGATCTGAATCATAATAATTTTGAAACCCACATATTAATTTTTTTTTAATTTCTTTGAAGACTTACCTTTGAAATAGCTCTGAAGAATTTCCCATCTACTTATTTATTAAGGTCGTTTTATGGACACAGGACTTGAAAAATGCACTGCTCAAACATGTAACAAGCCAAACTTTCAAAATATATTTAAAAAAAAAATTAAAAAGTTCTCCTTTAACAATTTCCTTTCTAAAGGAATAACCTGATGCAGGAACTTTGATTATTCATCATTGATGTATTTGAGGTTGTGGGAACATAAAAGTTTCCGGTTCGAGAAGAATCAGTGGTGCTACTCCCATAACCATCACCTGCAAAGTATACGTATTAAGTATCCCATCAACATTAAAGAGGATACTACAGTGACAAAAGCAGAGAGAGAGAGAGAGAGAGAGAGAGAGAGAGAGTACCCTGTGACATCTGTTGTTGATGGACATTCAAAACAGTCCCATAATGAGAATGTGTCTCATTTTCTCTGTGACATTTGAAAATCCATAAGCTTTGTGTTGTAAAGTAGACCTGATTCCCCCACCCATATGGCTCCCAAGGATATGTAATATGCGACTGTTATGGCCACCAACTTGGTGCTTTTGGTTTAGTGGCTGAGATACCATTGTTGAGTCAATATTCGATAGCCCAAAAACATTGTTGGACATATCTATTTTCATGTAAGACTGATTAGTATTACTATTATTAAATCTAGGAGTAGGCATCATTCACCATTCATAGTCCATAACAAAGAGATCAAAACCCAAACTTATCAATGAAAATAGACAGAAAGAATCAAAATAGTAAACATGTGGATGTGTATGTGGTGCTGTGTGCAACTGTGAACAACTATCATAATGGGATTTAGAAGCAAAAAAGTAGGGGAGATAGATGTCTCACCTGAGACATAAAAAAAAGAGAATAAGGGAGATGGAATGGAGCGTACCTAAGATGCTTAGAGTGTAGAATTAGGGATCAAGGAAAGAGGAGGAAGTCACGATTAATATCTGTATCACTTTTCCAGTTAGGGTTTTACAAAGGAGAATACAAGAAGAATCAAAATCAAAATCAGAGGCATGAATAAAGGAGAAAGAAGAGAAATTTTTACAATACAGAGGAGTGCACCTTACTAAATAATCCTTCGATTGACTGCAATTTGGAGTCAAATCGATATCGATTCAGCTAGATAATACCAATTTCGATTTCAATTTCATCTACTCCAAGTCTTTGTGGCCTATAAAACACGGTGTGTGGCTGATGATGGACAACCTGCGAGCTGCTGGTATGAGCTGCTGGTTTGTACCCAACGCTTTACCAGCACTACCTTCTCCCGATACGAGCTGCTGGGTTGAGGTCGCCTCAAAGAACCCTAAAATCTCTGGATCGAACACATACGAAGCGGATTCAATCACATAAATGGGCCCGGATCTTCCTTCACATGGGCCCCATGTTTGCCTTGTCTAATTACTGGAAACCATAGTTGAACAAGAAGGTCTGTGTCCATTATGCATTTTTCATTCAATAGTTAAAGTCTTGAACCAATCGATCATTAAAGAATTCTTGATAGTCATCAAGAGGGTTCAAATCTGTTTCCTCTGGGGAAATGATTAGATCAAATCTGTTTCCTTTGGGGAAACGATTGGGAACCATATACGGATTAGGGTTTACAGAGAAAATGAGAAGGAGAGATTGAAGGTTGTCGGCTGGTGGCGTGCTTTCCTTGATCGATGTCGACGATCGGGAATGGCAAGTAACGATGGTCGAAGTGTGAGGGAAGAAGTAGGTGGCAGTCAATGTCGGCAGGGGGAAGGAAGGAGCGTTGATAATTAGGGCAAGAGGGAAAGGAACAAAAAGGAAGGCGGGGATTTTAATTTTTTAGGATTTCATTTTCCCCCTCGGCTACTAAAGGATGGAAGGCGCGTTTCCATTAAAATTTATAAAGCGACATCCTCATACGACACACGTTTTATTATAGGCGCCGTCCGTGTTTTTTTTAGACACTAATTTAAGGGTACGCAAAAATGCGCGCCCTAAATCCTTAAAATTTATAGAGAGATGACATTATTTTTAGATCACACTCATTTGCGTATCGTGAATCAATGCGTATCATAAATTGCGCGTCGTAAAAGGCTGTTTTTCTAGTAGTGTTATCTTCTCGATCCTTCGCTCGGACCGCCAAGTAGACGACCCTACTCGCCGAGTAGGTGTTGTTTTTGGTGGTTTTTCTTCTTTGTTCAATTCCCGAGCTCCAAACCGCTTCTCCTGTTTCCTTTCACTTCCAAGCTTCAACTTTGGACTGAAAACATAATACAAGCACTTTTAAGTATCTTTTGTCCATGAAATGCAATAATTTAGCTAATAAATGATAAAAATCTATGCTTAATATAAGACTCAATATGAAAATATCAAAATACCCCACACTTGACTTTTGCTTGCCCCCAAGCAAAACTGAATTTTAACACATTAGAATCACATATGACAACTCCATTCTAACCCAACCATTATGCCAAGACCGCAACGCATGCATTTATGTCTAAAAATTTTCCTAAGGACCCCCCCATACTCCAAATACTCACAATCCTCATAAACATTTGCCCACTCACCCCGAACTATGCTCATTTTATGCATTTCTCTGAATCCATCCTCAGAAAACCTCTTAACCTCAAGGTATTTTTGGTTGAGCAACCCAAGCATACATAATCTAGACAATTACAATTTATGATACCATATTGGAGCTCTTTGGAATTCTTCATTTCTTTGACATTTGATCTTTGATTTCTATGAATTCACCACCTTGTTGTTTGATTTTTGGTATCTTCAACTTTTTGAATTTCTACGGAATTTTTGATCTTCTAATTTCATATTTGACTTTGATGCTCCAAAAATTCTTCAAACTTTCCTTGTAATTTCCTCTCTTTTTTTACATGCACCTCACTTTTTTCAGTAAAAACCTACATGCTTAAGCAGGGGCACTCAACTTCAACCTTTATTGGTTAACGATAATAATTTTCCTGGATATATTTCGCGTACACGATGCTAAACATATTGCATCCCTCGGGCTGAGCGAGGTCGTGTTTTTGTCCCATGATTTCACTAGAATAAGGAAGCCACAAATGCGCAAGAACGTATATAGGCTCAACTAAACATTTGGGTCTTCATCCAATTAATTCCTAAGTCATATTTTTGGTATTCACAAATTTTAAAATTTAACCTAAATTAGGATATTAGGATTCTATAATTACTAAGATGACATCAACCCCCTACCCCACACTTAATTTATGCAATGCCCTCATTGCATATTATGCATGAAAAATAACAATCATGAAATGTAGAGAGAATTGGAACAAACTCCCCTGGGGTAGAAGTCGCTAGGTCGATATCTCTTCTCTTCAACTCCATCTTCACTTAACTTTATCCATGGAAATAGCGCATCCATGTCTCGGATATCAAATCGCATGTGGGTAGCTTCAAATGTGCAGGAAAAATAGTACAAAACCTCCAGGAATTGATCACAAAGAATAAATGATCAAGTGGTGCAACCATCAACATCGAATCGGCAGTCCCCATGGTTGGCAAACAAGTGACTCGTCGAGTCATATAGACGACTCGTCGAGTATGGTCGCGGAAAGCCTCAAATGTGTAAGTACAAAGGGTGACTCGTCGAGTAGGTTTATTGCACTCGGCAAGTCGACCGCTGGGTGGAAAAAAAACTTTTCTACATTCTTTCCAGCTGTTGATAAAGCTTAATAACTTCCCATCACTTCAAAAATTATTCACTTAATACCCTTAGGACCGGACTCGACACCTTAGCTCTAAACGTCACCCTTTCTTGACTCTCTTCCATTCTTTTTCTCTTTCTCTCAAACTCTAAACCCCTTTGAGCAAGCATTCCTAACTCAAAATCTGAAAGTCATCAAGGCAAATAAAACATCAAACACATACTTAGAGTTCAACCAAAAATTCAAAACACACCAAACAAATCAAAAACAAAAATAAAACGAAATTGTTCCATTAAACATTAAAAAAAAAAAAAAAAAAAAAAAAAAAAAAAAAAAACTAATCCTCCTCCTCATCATCATTGCCATGAGCAGCTCCGCTTCCACCAGCTCCACTTCTCCTTGCATCAATGACCTCGTCCCACGAAGGAATGTAGGGAAAATTACCCCCATCAATGTGCGGAATATGGAAATGATCGAAAAGCCGCACGTGGGATTCGTTGCTAAAATTGATGCCCCTCGCCATGTGATCTTGGAGCCTCCTCATCTCAACATTGTACCAATCCATTGGTACCTCCTCATTGTCTAGCAGAATCACCGACGGCTCCTCCTCAACTTCCCGCTCGCGTCTCGATCTAACTCTCGTTCCCGGTGCCTCGGGTCCAATTACCGGATTATCACTTGGGATAGCATAATGACCACCACCAAAGTCTTCAATAATCATTACTCTACTAAAAAGAATAGGATTAAAGGGAAGGGCAGGAATCATTGTCATCAAATTCCAAGCTCCACGGGTCATCAACCCATATGAGTTGGCAAGTCAGTTCACGAACATGCCACTTTTAATTTTGGACGTTTTGCGATCCTTAACTGCACCCTCCGATAAATAAGAAGCCAAACACCATGGAATATTACAGAAAGTGTCGGGCGTGATGATACTCCAAAGATAAAATACATCAAGGTTGGACACCTTGTCGTCATCCTTCCGTTGATTGATGGTAGTGGAGATAAGGCGGTGTATGTGGAGGTGTGTGGGTGACCTAATGCTCCCTTCTTGCGTCGATTTTGGAATATACACTTTGTTAGCGATTGTGTTCCACCAACCAGTACTTATAACACCATCGGGAAACACCGTATGAGATTGTTCCAAAAAGGCACGGAAGATAGCAGTAGTAACCAATGGTTGGTCGTAAATACCCATTCGACATGCAAGCTCAATGACCGAGCATTGATGGTATTCACCCCTAAGACAAAAACTAAAACTTGTGGGGTGGTAACAATCATCTCCTCCTCGGAAAGACACCGTGGAGAAAAATTCCCAGCAATGCTCACGATACACCGGCTCTTGAATTCTAAAAATCCGACTCCATCCATCACATATCATCGTCTCCCCTCCGTAAGTAAATTCTTTCACAAGGTAAGGTGCCAACTCTTCTTCATACCGGATAGTATTTAACCAATCCCAGTAAATCCGATTAGGTACATACACCTCCTTCTTTCTGACATCAGCCAGCCTCTTCTTCCATCTCGTCATTGTTGAAGCCGATTCAATTGGAGGAAAATTCAACCAAGGAAAATCTCATTGGCTTCCTCTCGAGCTTTGTCCTCTGAATAACACGATTCCTGCAAAATAAAGAACAAACAACCCAGCAAATACAGAAAAACATTAAAAAACATTATTCGTCTGGGTCCCCGACTGGACTCGTCGAGTCCATGAACAACTCAGCGAGTCGCTCGAATTGTGCGAGTCAGTCGGCGTGTCGAGCCAAATTTGACCATAAAACTTGAAATTTTTTCAAGGGTTTTGTCCCTGGATGTTCTGAAACGACCCAAAAATTTCGTTTTTCAATAATACCAAAACCATAATATGAGTATCATAACATAAAAACATGCGCGATGTATCCCAAATCATAATAAAATACTGTGCGGAAAACTGTATCATACTATATCAAATCCAAAACAACTAAAACCATCCCCAGGATAAGAGCTAAGCTGTGGTGTGTGCGATGCTATCACCCCGAGCTCTTCCCTTTGCTTGCAGAAGTACCTGAAACCAAAACTGAAACTGTAAGCACGAAGCTTAGTGAGCTCCCCCAAACTACCACATGCCATACAATAACATATAAACACATATTGGGCCTTGCCCACTGCATCGGGCCGAAGCCCGGAACTGCATCGGACCGAAGTCCGGAACTGACTGGGACCTTGTCCCCTGCATCGGACCGAAGTCCGAAACTAACTGCATCGGACCGAAGTCCGGAACTGACTGCATCGGACCAAAGTCCGGAACTAACTGCATCAGACCAAAGTCCGGAACTAACTACATCGGACCGAAGTCCGGAACCGACTGGGACCTTGTCCCCTGCATCGGACCGAAATCCGGAACTGACTGTCTGAACATCGCATAGCATAACACATCATCTAGCATGAACACATATACTGCATATTACATCGGGCCGTAACCCAGAACACATAACACTTAACACATAAGACATAGCACACAAATCCTGTCCGAGCCACGAAGGCGTCAAACATACTAGCTACTGCATCGGACCTAAATCCGGAAACTACTGCTAACTGAACGGGCCGGCATTGTGGCCTTAGACCCGTCCCTACTGGAAGGAAACTCACCTCGTAAGTTGGCTGCTGAGTGTGTGGCTCGGGAAGCTAACGGCTGCTGCTCCTGAATCTCCTCGGCTACAAGTCCATAAACACACTCAATCAAATACTAAACACTATGCTTGGGGTAAAATGACTCTTTTACCCTTGGTCAAAGTCAACTCTCTTTTGGGCTGACTCGCCGAGTTGGGCCGCCCAACTCGCCAAGTCCTACTCTCACTTCTCAGTTCTACTCGCTGCTACTTGTCGAGTGTGGCATCGACTCGACGAGTACCCTCTTGATCCAAGAACTCAGACAATCTTCATCCGACTCGC